AAATTGGCTTATGTAAAGTCCAAGGAAAACAAGGGCCCCCGGTTTTTTTTGAAAGACTGGCCTTTAAAAGAAAAATTTTCTGGTTTTAAATGTCAAAGGTTAAAAGGGCAAAAAATGGCCCTTTTCGTTTTAATTTCCTAAAATTTCCACAGTTTCTTCCGGGCCGGGAAAAGGGGGCAATAAAATTTTTAACTGGCCCCCGGAAAGGTTTGGTTTTTGTTAATTTGGGCCCCTTTTTAATCTTTTTTTAAGGATGTTCCCGGGGGAGGGGAACCCGATTGCGGCACAGTTTCGGAAATGTCCGACCAGACCTACCGATGGGGCGAAAAAATTTTTTTTAAATCGGTCGGCCCCCTTTTTTTGAAGATTGAGTGGATTTTGAAAAATTTTAGGCCTTTTTTAATCTTTTTTAAGGATGTTGCCGGGACGGGGGACCCGATTGCGGCACAGTTTCGGAAATGTCTCGACCAGACCTACCGATGGGGCGAAAAAATTTTTAGTCGGTCGGTCCCCTTTTTGGCCCGCCCTTCTATTAAAAAAATAGGGGGGGCCTGGGGTGTTGTTGTTGTTGGCGTCTGTGAAACAAGGAAAGTTGAGCTGGGAGTAACCAATTTGGAGAGTACTTCAGGATCCCCGTCCAAAAAAAATAATCCGGTGGGGGCAAATCCCGTCCGGGTCGCACAAGGGCTGCTGCAGGTGCATCATGGTTTCCCATGACCGGGGGGGGGTTTTTCCGCCATTTTTTAGTGCTAGCAGGGCACATAGGGTTTTTTTGGGAAATCGGGGCGACGAGACAAGATGAATGGACCTGGTCCTGACCCCATCGGCCGCTTTACAAGTTGGCCCGATCAGGACTTCAAAAAAGGGGGTCGACCGACAAAAAAAATTTATTGCAGATTTCGTTTGGGTCTCAGCAAAACCTTTTAAACGAGGGGTTGGAAAGGGTTCCAGGGCCCGACTTCGTCTATTAGTCACATCAGGATCTTCAAAAAAGGGGGTCGACCGACTAAAAAAATTTATTGCAGATTTCGATTGGTCTCAGCAAGACCTTTTCAACGAGGGTGGGAAAAGGGGGGTCCGGGAGCCCGACTTCGTCTATTAGTAAAATCAGGATCTTAAAAAAAGGGGGTCGACCGACAAAAATTTTTTACGTAAGTTTTCGATAGGTCTTGGCAAGACCTCTTCAACGAGGGGTGGGAAAGGGGGTCCAGGAGCCCGCCTTCATGAGTTAGGGGAAAAAAAGTGCGACGGACTCGTTTTGCGCTCCTGCTGTGCCTCTATTGCAAGGAGTTGCAGTAGCATGGAAAAATATGGGTATTTTGGGAAATGGGGGCGAAGAGACAAATGAAATGGACATATTCAAAGGACAGTTGGAGTAAAAAGTGTAAGGACTATTGCATATTGTGAATAGAAGGGCGGGCCTAAGTCACGATGGTACATCGATAACTTTGCTTTACCCGCTCACTTGTGTGGGATGCGAGCGGGCCAAAGGGCCCCGGGGCCTTTCGACTGGCCAAGTTGGGTCTGATGCGAGGGCCAAAGGCCCGAGAAAAGGCCGCCGGCAGCCAAGCGGGGCCGGCCCCCCCCCTTCGAACCGAGTTGCCGGCGCAGCGAAGCGGAGCTGGCAACTCGGTTCGACGGAAGGGCGGGCCCTAGCTTTTGAAGATAGAGTAGATTTTGTTGAATTTGGGCCCTATTTAATCGTTTTTTGAGGATGTTGCCAGTGACGGAGACCGGATTGCGGCACAGATTCGGAAATGTCTCGACCAGACCTACCGAGGGGGCGAATAAAATTTTTAGTCGGTCGGCCCCCTTTTTTGGCCCGTCCCTTTATTTTTTGTAAAAAAATGACGGAGGGAGGGGGATATAGTATGATGCATGCTGTGCGTCCGTTCGTTCTTTCTCCGTCCGTTCTTTTTGTTCGTCCGAGGACTTCCCGTGGTCCGATCTTGCCCAAAATTTGGTATGCAGCCTCCTTGGGTGACCCAAAAAACCCCCCGGGGTGGCAGAAAATCCGATCCGAGCCCCGGGGGCGCTGCTGCAGGTGCATCATGGTCTATTTGGGGCCGAGGAGGATCTCGGCAAGGGATGCAGCTAGCAGGGCATGTAGGGGTATTTTTGGACTCGGTGCGACGAAAAAAAAACCAATGGTGCCACTTACGAACGAATCGGAGAAGTTCGGCCCCGGGGTTCAAATCCCAGTGGGTATTTTCGGAACATTTTTTTTATTCGAGTTTTTGCATTGTTTCTGATGTTTTTGGGGGTGCTGATGACGAAAACGCTTTTATTTTGACCCAGCCCCTGGTTTAAATTCGTCGGGGTTAAACAAAGGCGAAATTCACACATTTGTTAATGTAGGGGACGGGCCAAAGTTGCCGATGTATATCGCTATTTTTCCTGTTATTTGAAGATTGAGAGGTTTGCTCGGAAACGGTGAGAATTTTTTTTCCCCCTTTTTTTTGTAGATAAAGTATTTTTTGGGAAACGGTGAGGGAATTTTAAACTTTTGGGTTTTTTCCCCCTTTTTCCCATAAAATTTGGAATCAAAGGGAAAAAAAACCGCAAGTCTCTACGACCACTCCTTCACCCCAAACTTTTCTATGAGTGAGTGAGTCAGTGAGTCAGTCGGATTGGGGCTTTATAGGTTCTTGATTTTTCACTTCAGGGTTCGTTTTGTTTCGGAGAAAGGCACCCTCTCGTGGTGAAGCCGACTGGTTTTGGAAGCGAGCACCCCCTGGACTCCTCATCATCATTTATTTTTCGTACTCGTAGATTTTGGTACGTTAATGATCCTGCTGCAGGTTCACCTACAGCAACCTTGTTACGACTTTTACTTCCTCTAAAAATTCGAGTTTGGGCATCTTCCCAGCGACATCGGAACTCCGCCCCCGCCGGGCCGAAGACCTCACTAAAAATTCAATCGGGAGTAGCGACGGGCGGTGTGTACAAAGGGCAGGGACGTAATCAAGGCGTGCTGATGACACGCCTTTACTGGGAATTCCTCGTTCATGTGGTCAATTTCAAGCCACAATCCCAAGCGCGAAGGTTTTCAGCGGGGTTTCCCGGGCCTCTCGGCCAGGGAGGCACGCTGGCACCTCCATTGTAGCGCGCGTGCGGCCCAGAACATCTAAGGGCATCACAGACCTGTTATTGCTCAATCTCGTGCGGCTAAAAGCCGCCTGTCCCTCTAAGAAGATTTAGTACCGCCGGCTGCCAAGGAAGCCGGGTACGTCTATTTAGCAGGTTAGAGTCTCGTTCGTTATCGCAATTAAGCAGACAAATCACTCCACCAACTAAGAACGGCCATGCACCACCACCCACTGAATCAAGAAAGAGCTTTCAATCTGTCAAAACCTTCCAGTGTCTGGGCCTGGTAAGATTTCCCGTGTTGAGTCAAATTAAGCCGCAGGCTCCACTCCTGGTGGTGCCCTTCCGTCAATTTCTTTAAGTTTCAGCTTCGCAACCATACTTCCCCCGGAATACAACTTGTGATTTCTCGGAGGCTACCTGCGGATGCATCAATGGACATCCCGCAGAAGGCCAGTCTATATAGTTTATGGTTTGGATCACAAGGCCGTATCCGGCTTCGCCTTTAAGCCCCAAACTTTCGTTCTTGATCAACGAGAACATCCTATGTAAATGCTTTTGCTTAAGTCCACACAACCCCTCCGGGGGGGTTGTGTCTCACAGACCGCCGCATGACCCCTCCGGATGGAAGAGTAATACGGACCGCCGCATGACCCCTCCGGGGGGTTGAGTCTCACAATCTTACAAGTCTACTAAAGACCAAACAATTTACAAAGAGCATCACATGGAGACGCAATGACTTATCTTTTTCTCGCTTTCACGGAAGCACCACATTTCAACCTCTGACGTTTTGCTGCGTTTAGTCCTTGCACGGACATGCCACGCTGCTTCTTGTTTTCATGTGTCCATTGTTTCGATGAGTCAAAGGTCAAGGATAGCCTCAACTGAATGAATACTGTGATTAAAAAACAAACACAGAAACAAACGGTTGGGCTACCCCCTTCCTTGACATTTGGGGGCGAGCCTTCTCTTCCTCCGGGAACTTCCACGGAGGAGGAATCTCTATGAGGTGGCCAACCTGCTTCTCCACTGCGCGTAACCTGTAATAAAACATCATTCCATCTAAAAATAGTAACAATATTGTTCAACCAAATGCCAGTAGAGCAATTAAGGAGTTCAGTTTTAATGTTATCACCTTATTTATCAACAAGAAATCTATCTTTTAATCCTAAAGATATAATTTGTCATCCATAAAATTTGGATTGTCTTTTTTACAAAAGAATATGACGAAATGACTGAAACGAAATAAAAACCATGTTACTATAAAGTCATAATAAATCAGGATCATAAAAGGTCATTAGGAGAGTCCTTACTCGTTCGTCACTTCTTACAATCGTATAGTATTTTTTCCAAACAGGATATTAATATTTATTTGTAACTATTTACACAGTCGACATTTGACTGACCTGCTTATTCATTCAAGGAAATCTGCAAAAAAACAGAATTAAGTGAAAGTGACGCAACAAATTGAGGCAATTTGATGATGGTAGAATGATTTTGGAGTTTGACCTTACCTCTTAATCTTACTGGCTTACAAAAAAGGGATTATATATCAATATATGTACAATTGAACAATGTAGAAAATTGACAAGTCAGAAAGAGATAAAGACGAAATGACTGCAATAAAGAAACGGTTCAGTAATAAACTTAATTTAAATTGTAAACATTTAATATCATCTGAAGAGCACTTACTCGTTCGTCAATATTTTTGTTCTGTTTTCCATTCTTAAAAATAATACATATTTGTAATCAAATTTATTTACATGTCAGGAACTTATAAAATGGATTAATTATATATCTTTATAAGTTCCACCTAATAATACCAGAAACATTTTTTAAAAAATAAACTTTTATTATTTTTTAAAGAAATTCAAATTTCATTAAGAAACAAACCTTTTATCAATTCACTTCATCTATCGCAACAAGTCTCGATGCACAATGTTTTTGGTGCGCACATCAACTTTCCTGAGATCACCACCCTTATCCTTACTTCCTTGCAAGGGACCTCGCATGACTACAATCGATACGTCCTTCTTCCGCTTGGCCCTACCGACAGCTACGTAAAATTGTCCGTGACTGAACACAGGTCTTCTTAAAAAGAGACCAACCCGCTCAAAAGACTGGCCTTGACTCTTGTTGATGGTCACTGCAAAGGCCAGCGTTATGGGAAACTGGAACCTTTCTATACATCCTGCGATCGGCACATCATCAGACCTCATTCGCATTCTAGGCAGGAAGAAAACAGACTCGCCTCCGTGTGATGGATTCAGTTTCTCTAAGACGATGGCGTGTGTTAACATCTGTTTGACCAGAAATCTGGCTCCATTGCAAAGTCCATTTTTCTTATCCAAATTGATCAGGAGCATAACAACGCACCCAACTTTCAGTTTAAGATGATGAGGGGGCAAATTTGCAGCCTGGAGCTTTTCCAGTTCCTCCGTGGTCATAAGAAATTTACCAGGTTGTAAGTTATTTAACCGACCTACATCTTGATACACCACGGATGTTTTTGCAACATAATTGCTGTCCATTCCAGCGATGCGCTGGACTACAATATTATTGTTGAACCTCGTCTCTGCGTTGGTGGGTGTGACAATGATCCCAGTCCTGAGTGTGTTAACTGTTGTATCAGGATACACCTATGAAAAAATTTCAACGAATAAATTGGATTAGAGAGAATAAGACAGAAGGGTACGACCATAAAAAAACAGTATCAAAACCTTTTCCACAAGTACACATGCCGCATTGTACTCGTCACGCGTTGTAGCATAAACACTCCTTTGATCCGCCTCTGTGACACCTGTAGTAGATCTAGATGCTCCAACAAGCATGTAGTTCGGAACTCGAATGTAGTCAGTACCAGGAATATTAGCACTGCCATCTCTGACTGTCATTATCCAATCAGCAAACTCAAGATCATGCTCAGCACGCATATTCCTAGTAAGTTTCATCTCATTGCGATCAGCCCAATGTTCCCAACGAGGCATTGAATTTGCAATGATCTCAGATGTTGATGCATTTCTCAGGACAGGCAGAATCTGCCCCATGTCCCCTCCAAGTATTACCACTTTTCCTCCGAAGACAAAACTTCTATTGTTCATCAGGTCCTAAAACGGGAAAAAAGGTGAGATAATTAATGAATTAATTTCATCAGATAATTAATGAATTACTTTTCTCAGAAAATCAGAGATAAGACGTTTGGCATATTTACCCTTAAAAGATGGTCGATCAGTGTGACCTGCCACTTGGACATCATGGATACTTCATCAATGAGAATGAGCTTGGCAGACCTTAAAGTCTCAGCTTCGGGGGAACAACCTTCAATGAATGATCTATCGTTTCCATCCTGACGTGCCCGTATGGGGATCCCAAATGTCTTGTGACAGGTGTCTCCAGAATCCAACAAGAGTGCAGCAAGAGCAGTCATAGCAGACGAAACAAACGGGATTCCCTTTCTTCGACAGTCAAGAGCAAGACCCTGGTACAGAAAGGTTTTTCCACAACCAGCTGGTGCGACAAGAGAGAAGAAGTTGTTCCTCGAATTGTTGTTGTTCTCAACAGTCTCCATGACTGTATCATGAACCAGCAGCTGTTCGGTCGTATACTTGGAATAATAATCATCAAACAAGACTCCATAGTTAACATCAGCATCTACGCCGTCTGAAAAATAAAATGGCTTTCAAGTAAAATAAAACAGAGAGATTTAATTTTTCAATATAATGAAAAATAACATACTACCTTGTTGTCTTGCTTGACGTGGAATGTCATCTAAATATTCGTCATCTCCAGGCTCTCCGTCTTCATCACAAGAAGAATCGTCTCTGACCGGAACTCCGAATTGAATATTGCCAATCTCATTAAAAACAGGACAGCTCTCGTCGCTTTCGTGTTCTGGGATCTGAACGGTTGCTGGAACATTTCCAAGTATTTCTTCCATCCTTTTCAAGACATCTCGTCGTGCCCTTATTATCGCCTCCCTTCGTCCACATCCACTACGTAGATAGTCATCACTCATGGCATCTCTGTACTGTATCCACAGAGGTTCAGGATCATTCGCTGAACATGCGGCAACGATTGTTGCAAAGAATGCACGGATCTGGTATGGAGCTCCATGTGTTGCAACCTCTAACAATGCAGAGCTATAGTCCATTGATTCGCTATCATCAAGGCCCATGGCTTGACAGGCGGACCTGAAGGTTGGATGCAGCGTTCCATTTACTGTAAGAATGTCTTCGAACGACTTCATACCAGGTCTGTTCAAGAGCAAAAGCCGTAAGAAGAACAGTTCCATATTTCTTGGGGAGGGGTTGACGTGCATGAGTCGACCAAGTGTATTCCCTCTCGTTTTAGTCACCCAATCACCTTTTTCCCATCTGCAAAAAGAATGATTTACGTTTCATACAATTTTTGTCAAATGTAACATACCAGCAATATTTCGCTACGCATATAGACATTACCTGTAACTGTTAACAACTTCTGCATAGAAAAGTTGATTGGCTGCTGGATCTCTTGTATTCAACTCGAACCATTGGAGAAGCTTTGAAGACTTAGGATTTTCAAATGCAGTGCGTGGATTGCCTCTGTAATATTGGTATTCCTTTCCAGGCAAATGAACTGGCAGAGCCTCCACTTTGTGGCTCATCTTGACAATAGGCACTCCTAGTATCTTAAATACGGCTTCATACGGTCCAATCACTCTTAAGTCCTTAAAGTGGCTTATCTCATCCCAATTCATTTCATTTCCATCATTTTGTTCGTTAAAGTATTTGAGCATTCCCCCTTGCACACACTGCCCCCTGCTCTCTTTTGTAAAATAACCGTACAAATACTTGTAACAGAGATTTTCACCACACAGCATGATGTTGAGGTGGTTGCCGTGCCTGATACCAAGACGAATGTTGCATGGAATGACCCATCTGTTATCGACCATGCATTTCCATTTTTCAGAGTAGACAGGAGCTGTTTCTCTTCTACGTAGCAGAGGTCCCCGGTTCGTTACCAAAGTGCGGTCTCTGAATGCGAACGGGAAACCAGACGTACAAGGCACACCGTTGGGCCTACACATTGGGTTCGTGAACCCAGGAGATGAACCATCACAAGGTCGATGAATCATGTGAGTCATCACATAATAAAATCCGTCAGTGTCGTCCTCCTTTGATGGAATTTCTGCAGTAACAAACGCATCAACTTCTTCTGGTGTTCTGGGTACATCCGCTGGGTCAAGAATGACGGCACAATGAAAGTGCGGAAGAAAGGTGGACGTAAATTCATGCACCCCAGAATACCCGAGGACCCGCCCAAGCACTCCTCTATGAAACACATCACCGAGACATATCCCGAGTCTTCCGAGGTATGTCCGAACAACAGCATCAGCTGCATTGACGTACTCGTCACTTCCTAGACCTCTTTTTTGAAGAATTTCAAGAATCTCAGCCCATCTTGGATTCGTGGTAAATGTGAGAAGCAAAGACGGCGGATCGGTGTTTATGGAGATACAGATTGAATCCATGTAACTGTTGTACATATTCCTCTCACTGGTTTGAATGTTTTTAGGAATAATAATAACCCTTCCTGGTCGTTTTCCCTGCTCTTCTGCCTCAGACTCAACAAACCTTTTAAGTGAATCAAGTTGGCAAACTTGCAGCTCTTCATTCTGATTCTCTGCATAATTCAGATTATTGTCCTCTATTTTGGTGGCTGCATCTACCAGCCACTGCTGAAACAGTGTTCTGGATTGAAAAAGTATCCCTCTGTCATCCGGCCTCATCATGATCCGCGAAGAATAGTAATCTCGGAGGGTTCCGCATTGGAGCGATTGATGTTCAAGACGCGGACGCGTTGGCCGATTTCGTGGAACGATAAGATCCACCCAGGGATCCTCAGCATGAAGGTGTATAAGTGGATAGAGCATAGTGTCAAGTGATGGACTCATTTCATGAACAGTAAATACAGGGACAGCATCACCGCCTCTTGGAAACAGTGCAACATCATAATTGTAACTCAGTCTGTTTCCTATGTAAACTGCTGCAATGAAATTACTTCCAGTTGGTCGATGAGCTGTCCTATCAGTGTCAATGAATTCTCTGTAAAAATATAAACAAAATCAGAAACCATTATTAAAAAAGACAAACACAATTCGATTTACCGAAAAAAAATATTTTAATACCTGTCGGTGACTCTGAAACCAGATGAATGTGGGTTAATTGCAAGCGTTACTCGAGAAGTTGGATGTGAGTCCTGCAGTCTTCCTGCCAGTTCAAACGTTCTAACAAGATCGTTGTGATGCCTAAGATATCTTTCAAGTCTGTCTAGGATGTGAGATTGGAGTCGTTGTTCACTTCTCAAGACTCTTTCAGTAGTGATATCTCTAGACATAGAAGCGAAATACAACTGACCCATTTGCAGATCAGAAGTGACACTTGCATCGCACTCGAAAGTAACTCTTCCATTCAAACACAAAACTCGTCCAGTCCTTAGATTGCGAGAGGAATAGTTCGTGACTGGTACTGCAATACTTAGGGCGTGGTTGTACTCTCGGATGTGTTCTTGAAATTCCATGGCATCAGGAGAATTTCCAGTGTACCACTCTCTTATAATGGGGTCAGATATCTTCTTAAAGCAAGCGGAGTTTGCCAGGCCAGTCTTCATTTCTCTGCCACAACACCAGGCTGGCGTGTCTTGATCCGCAACAAGACGCTCCGCCTCCCAGAATGTTGCATTACAATCAGAACAACTTGATGTGAAAGGTCCCATAGAAACCTGCCGAACCCCATGCACAGTGTCTCCATTATACAAACAAGCCCATTGGAAATGATCTCCAATTGTAGAACATAGCTTCAGAGTACTCCGTTTGTTCATCACAGCTGCAACAAAATGAAAGAAAACAGTTAGGCAAATAAAAAAGACGAGGTAAACACTTTTAAGTGAAATCAACGCATGTTTTGTACCAGGAGGCTCCCTAGTCGGATGAACACGTCGCAGTGACGAAAAAATAGGGAAAGATGTAGGCAAATCATCAACAAACATGTCATCTTCATAATTGTGAGGCAGGACTGTAACACAGATAACACGTTACCCTCATAGAAACATTTTCCTTCGAAGAAAAGAAACGGTTTTAAGCTGCCATGTAACGCAAGAACTTGCCATCAAACAAAGGACGTGGTGCATGCCAATCATAATTAACCTCAGGAAACGCAAAGTGCACATCTTCATCCACAGAATTGTCGATGACATTATTCTCAGGGGGACTTTCTTCAAACACTTCTTTGAGACACTTGTAGTGGACTCCTTCTCTTATGAACAACAAATCAACTTGTTCGAGTCCACCTGGGTTTGACGTGTCGAAGAGGTGATCACCTTGAAAAATGCGCACGCGACAATTGTACAAAATAGCAAGTGCCTGTATTTCAGCAGGTCCGGCGTATGTACCATTCTTTCCCATTGATGTTGCTGTAATTTTTTAAGTACATTAACAATTGACACTCATTGACAGTTCAACAGAATGCGACAAGGCAGCGCTTTACGCACCATAAGATGCATAAGATTCATAAGGCTTAAAAGAGCCATCGTCAGTATCCATGCCTAAAGTATCCCACATGCTTTCCATCTGAAGCACACATTCTCGACGAAGTTGAGCAGCCGCACTCGTAGATTCAAGCAGAGCATACGAAAAGGCTTCAAACAAACAGTCTCCTTCGTGTAACACGTCAAATACTTGAAATCGTATTCCATTTATCACAGAAATGCCCTCGAACGTCATTTTCAATAGCAAGGGGCGAAATTCTAGAAACAGAAAGACCAACAATCACTTAAGTTTGCGTTAATACACGTTAAAACATAGAGACACTATGAAAGACATGGAAAGAGAAAATGCATGTGTAATCATTTGTGAAGTGGTATCAATTTTGTGCCCCCGAAAAAAACTGGTCTCGATGCTAACAGAACTTGAAGATGTAACGCGATTTTTTTTTTGAAAATACGTGTGAGAATGACATGTTGTGTATAGTTCAAATCCTTCGTTTGAAGGTTGTCTCGGTACTGGCAGACGGAAGCGAACCCGTCTGTTGCGCACCTTTTCCACAGTACTCACAAGTACTCTAACCCTCCAGTGCGTACAAAGGACTTGGTACAGCCATAATAGGCCTACCTTGCAGATCGCCCTTTTAACTGGCTGGAGTTGTCAGACTACTCATTTTCCCTGGTACCAGTCCGGACAAGGCTCTCCCCACTGACGACATGTCACTTAAGACAAGTCGAAAGCGGGACCCCCAGACTCCCCAACGACTTGGTACCAATGAGGATGACAATAAAACAGTCCTGCAAAAAAAACAAGACTCAAACGTACATGAAATAGAACATTTACTTCACCCTACAAACCTATCGTTCTATGGGAGATAGGTACTTTGTGCCACACAAAGTTGCATTTGCAGTTGTATTTTTTAAATTGAGACGAACAATCACAAGAGGTAATTTTCAGAGAAATGAAAAAGAAAAACAGTTTGTGAGAAATTTTTTTCAAAATTTTGAATTTTAAGAAATAAAATTTTAAAATATTATTTTTTTAAATCTTTAAAATATAAACTGTTTGAACACTACCGTTTTATTGTTCCCGTGTCAAATGACAGGGATTTTCTGCGAGCCATTGAAAACTATTTTTTTTACAAAATTGTCTCTGTACTTAACCTAACCTGGACTACAAAAAACGGTCAAACTGAAAACTTGTCTGAACGAAAAGAATCCTCCCTTTTAATGGAACATAATTGGCTTTGACCGTTTCCTTCAATATCATCTTCATGAGTCAGAAATGGCAACTTTGTGTGGCACAAAGTACTCATCCCCTTAGATGGCACAAGGGTACGGTAGTGGGTAATTGTCTTGTTGATGTAAGTTACCACATTTTTCTTCCAGGGACTTGTTCATGTCGTCCTCATTGGTATCACGTCGTTGGGGAGTCTTGGGGTCTCAATCCCGACTTGCCTTTAGTGGCATGTTGAGTTTGGGAAGAGCCATGTCCGGACGTATACCAGGGAAAACATGTAGTCCGACCATTCCAGTCAGTAACGAGGGCGATGTTCTGAGGTAGGCCTTTGATGGCTGTACCAAGTCCTCTGCACGCACTGGAGGGTTGGAGTACTTGTGAGTACTGTGGAAAAGATGCGCAACAAGCGGGTTCTCGTCCGTTTGCTAGCATTGAGACAACCTTCTACGGAAGGGTTAAACACAATAAATCACAAAAACTCTTTACACGAACGCTAATCTTATACGCCTTATTTTATCCCATTTCATTCTTCTCTGTTTTTATCAATGTAAAGTATCTAGAAACCGTGAAATGGAAGGCGCCCAAGAACATTCAATTCAGTGCCTCCTCTCGGGGGTTTGCCAGTGCGGTCTCTGGTATTGTGACCAAGACCGCCTGAACTATATGGCTTCAGTTGACCTTTCTTCTTACTATCCGTCTGGGACGGGTGATGACTGGTGGAATGGTAGGTTGCTTTTCATGCCACATTTTGCAATCTCTTTCTTATTTTATTTCAATGACATGCATTTAAAACGCATCAAATTCTTGTAGTGTTCTAATCCGATCCTTCAATGTTGTGTTCAATGGCAAAGACAATCCAGAAGACTTTATACCGCCACAGGCGGTAGCGCCGGTGGCTGGAGAGGGACTTGGACCTGTTGAAGAAGGTCCCGTTGCAGCACCCGTTGCCGAAGCTGTACCTGCTGTTGAACATTTTGCCGGAGGTGGTACTGCTTATGCAGAAACTTTCCAAGAGAACGTATCAACGGAGTCCGACAGGCTTCTGGCAAACATCACGCTTGACCAAGGTATGAATTCTTTTTGCGACATCAAATTTATATTACTTTTAGAATAAAATTGCAAGTTGAGTTGTTCATCATGTTAGATATCTTTAACGGAGTATTTTATTCTTGCGACCTTTTCCGGCCCTTTCCTATTTTATTTTTAAGTCACATGTTTCGAAAACACCAGACTCTTTGCCTCGTTTAAACCGATCTTTCAAATTTTTATTCTTTGATAAAGACAATCCACAAGATTTACCAGGGCCACAGGCTGAACCTGCCATGCCTGGAGAGGTTCATTCTCATCTCCAAACTCTTGATGAGAATGTTTCAACAGAATCGGACAGACTGTTAGCAAATATAACTCTTGACCGAGGTATGAATTTTCTCCGAAATTAACATTTTATTTAACTTAAAATAATCTCAGTGGAATTGTCAGCAATGAATAATATTTTTTACTATTTTTTCGCAGTCATTCCTTCAACCCTGATGAATACTTCGACAGCATCAAACTCAACCTATGAAGGTAAAAAACTGTGTGAAGACACTTCAAATGACGATTCTAACGACGCTGTTTCATCAATTGGTGAGTAAACATTTGCAAAGGATAAAAATGTTTAAACAAGTTTAAGTTGGTTTAATATTTTTAAAACAACATCGAAATCTTTTTACATTTAATGACGCCCGCGTATGCAGGGCCCGGGAGGCGTTGGACAACTAACGAGGGTCACGGGCAGGTAGGCAGGCCCAGCCGGCTGAGGGTCGCCGGCCGGGAGGATTCCGGTTATCCCCTCGCTTGTCGTGTACTATTCCAGAAGAAATATAAAATTGTTTCTGTTCATTTTCTAACGATCTTTTAAAATCATGCATGATGAGTTAAAAAGACACAGGTTTAAAAAACCCCACCCAAAATTCGAATTTTTTACCATAACGTCGGCATGTCCCGCCGGTGGTCAGCTAACGGAGGCCACTGGTCCGGGCGTATGCATCACGGAATGACAGATTTGCGTTGCATTTTTTCTTGACTGTGATAAAATAATTGAAGACTCAGCAACTCGTCAAAAAGTCAAAAACAAAATCCAACGAAAATCTTTTATTCCGTGATGCATACGCCTGGACAGGGGGCGGCAACGGCCTAGGAGGCGCGTGAAGCCATGCGCGAGTAAGGTGCAGGGGTTACTTATTTTGCTTCGATTGTAAGATCTAGGCCGTTGATTGCAAAACGCTTTGCACAGATCGAAAGAGCACAAAATTTGGGGTGCATTAGGCTAATTGCCCTTCTCGAAACTCCTCCCTTACCTAGTATTAAGGTGCAGTAAAAACACCGAAAAACACATAAATCATAAAATTTAGGAAAAAACTCGAATACGTCATGTTGATGTAAATGATTTCGCCCTTGTGTTCTGTTGAATTGGAAGTATCGGGCAGTCCACTAGGCCTAATGCACCCCAAATTTTGTGCTCTTTTGATCTGTGCAAAGCGTTTTGCAATCAACGGCCTAGATCTTAATTCTTTGATAAAGTAACCTCAAGACCTTACCGCGGGCTTCAGGCGCCTCCTGCCGGTGCGCCCTTGGCCTGCCAGCTCTTGAGCTGCCCGACGGGACAGCCAGCCCTGTTAGGCTAAAAATTTGAATTGAGGTGCGGTTTTCTTTAAACCTAATTTTTTTAACTCACAATGCATTTATTTTAAAATCGTTAAAAAATTTAAAAAATTTTTAATTTTTTCTTCCTTAAAACACGACAATCATGGCATAAATCAACCTATAATCCAAACTGTGTGAAGACCTTACCCTACGATTCCGACGCTGTTCATAATTGGCGAGAAACTGGGCCAAGGTAAATGTTAGAAGTTTATGGTTAATATTTTTAAACAAGGTCGAAATCTTTTGAGTACTGTATGACGCCCGCGTATTATTCCCTTAGTTATTCCACCAACTCAACGAGGGTCAACTGTTTCCCAGGGTCAGTCATCACCAGATAACTCAACCTATGAGGGTAAAAAACTATGTGAAGAAACTTCATACAGCGATTCTGAGGCCGGTGTCTCGTCACTTGGTAAGTTGAGATTTGTAAAAAATAGAAATTTTTTAAGTTTCTTTCAATTTTTTACTCACATCATCGGAATATTTGTATTACAAACGACACGCTGCATCTTTATCCTTAGTAATCCCACCAACTCCAAAGGGGTCGTCTGATACCCAGGGTCAGTCATCACCAAATTTCTCACCACTACATGACTCAAAAGGTATGTCAGTGGTAAAATTCCTTTTCAGTTTGTTTCGAAAGCTAACGATTCCTAACCAAATCATACTTTTCTATAAGCTCATTCAGAAATGGATGTAGATGCAGACCAATCAGATAACTGGACAAGGGATACAGATGATTATGTTAATTTCCTTCCAGAATATAGACTTTAATTTCGATTTACATTTTTCTTGTTTTTTTTTTATGATACAAGCGTCACATGTGCACACACTTTTCATTCAATTTTTTTTTTCAAAGAAACTTCTGGTGACTCAAACGTCGAGCCACTGTTAAAGCTTCTACGCCAGGCAGATCGTGACACTGGAGAGCAATATAGTAGCTCACCATCTACTTCATACATGATGCAAGTTGATTCAGGTAACAATGAGCGTTGAGTTTTACAGTCGAGAATGAAATACGCAAATGGCATCAATACTATGATTAAGTAAACGCTATTGTCTTGTTACAGAAACCTCAGTTGATAAAAATACTTCGACAGTTGATGAAAAGATGGAGACTGAGGACCAAGGTGCCGATAAAGCTGAGCCACCGAAAAGTTCTTTCTCACATTTTTTTTATATCTTGCGGAATATTGCATGTGTGCATTGTTTCAGAATCATCTGAAGGAAACACTCTTGCCCAGCAAACGGCGGGCCAATACCAGGGGTATAATGAAGAAGAAGAAGCAGCAAGGGCGGGTCCAAGCGGACTCGCTACTAACCAACCAACAACAAGCAGAGCCCCTGAAGAAACTATGTGCCAGACTTGTGGATCCTCATCTGAAAGTCAAGAAGGTAAGAATCAACATAATGCAGCTCAAAAATGTCAGTGTTGATTAAAGCTTGCCTTAATTTGACCAACTTTAACTGCCTTTTAATTGCAGGGGAGGTTTTCCGATGTGACATTTGTGCAAAGGAATTTTTATCAGCAAGAGGCCTTCAGCTTCATCGCCAGGCCGATCATGAAAACGTAAGGTTCAAGTGCACGGAATGTGGCCAAATCTTTAAGCGCAGAAGTGATCTTCTGGCACATTTGAAGAATCACTTGGGAATGTTGCACCAAACTTGCAGTGATTGTGGCCTTGTCTTTAAACGGCCATCGACCCTAGGTCAACATTATAATAGAGTTCATCTGCATATGGTGACTTATCACTTTTGCTCTAAATGTGGGAAACGGTTTGAGTCGCGACCATCTATGAGGCGTCATGAGAAAGATTGTAACAACGAGTAAGTCCAACGTTTCTTTCATTTGCACCTAATTTTGTGTTACTTTTACAAGTGTTTCAGTCGTTTGATTCATGACAAAGACTCATCTTTGTCACAATTTTCTGCATTGAAGACGATCAATAAAAGCCTTTATTACTCTGTTTAGTTTTTAAGTGCACTTTTGCTCTAAATGTGGGAAACGGTTTGAGTCGCGACCATCTATGAGGCGTCATGAGAAAGATTGTAACAACGAGTAAGTCCAACGTTTCCTTCATTTGCACCTAATTTTGTGTTACTTTTACAAGTGTTTCAGTCGTTTGATTCATGACAAAGACTCATCTTTGTCACAATTTTCTGCATTGAAGACGATCAATAAAAGCCTTTATTACTCTGTTTAGTTTTTAAGTGCCATTATCAAGGGATGTTTTTCATCGAGCATTTTAAAACAAAGGTGACGATTTACGACCATATTCGGTCGAATTATTTGATGTTTCATGTCTATATTCTTAAGTTTAATTTCTCGTTATTCGCAAGGAAGACGAAATGTGTTTTTGAAATGTTATACTATAATAAAATGTTCTCATAATAAAAAGAATTCCATTTCACTTATTTTTCTCCCCAAATCGATTTATTCACACACTTATAAAAAGTAAGGAACGTCTCTTCAAGGATTTGCAGCAGTATAAGCAGAGCGCTGAAGAGGTCCTATGAAGGATGCCGCAAATGCGCCCCCCCTTCCTACACAAACACCCACGGAAGAGACCAGGGAGGGGGGAGTTACATGAATTGAGGCACCGCAGTTTTTTTTTTAATTCTCGGTGTCCATTTCATTTGACTTTTCCCAAATCGGTTCTTATCCACGTTTCATCATCGACAGCTGGAGCGAAGGTCAACTCATCAGCATAGCCATTGGTAACGCCAGGGTAAGACTCATTTTGGCAAAGTCAATTCCCAACGCAAGTGAGTGCATAGATGGCCATGGTAAATTTTGGGTTAAATGAAAAAAGGCCGATGCCACGCACCCCAACAAAGACGACCAAAAGGTCAGTCCTTGAAGGAGTGCGCGACATCGGCCTTAGATTGCTTTTGCCTAAATGAAAAAAGGCCGATGCCACGCACCCCAACAAAGACAAACCAAAGTCTGTCTTTGACGGGGCACGTGACATCGGCCAATTTTCCATACGACGCATTTATGTTTTGCTGCACGAACACATCTGTTGATACGATGAAATGCATGTAAAGGATAGCCGAACCATTTGGATACTGAAACTCGAATAATATGCCAAGTACCACAAACGGTTCAGCTACCCCTCCATATCATTGAGGCGAGCCTTCAACTCCTCCGGGACTTACACGGAGAAGGCAATCTCTGAAGTGTGGCCATCTTGCTTCTCCACTGCGCGTACACATAGGGAACATGGACTAATCAGAATCCTCTTCGTCTTCCGTTGAACGGAGCTCTTCGTCAGCTTGCTGCGCAACTGCCTGCAGGTGATGCCGAGGTATGACCTGAAAAAAAAACTGTCTTATTAGCACTCAAGATACGGGAATTAAAGCAACTTATATGAACATATACTCACTGCGTCCTTCAGAAACACTGCTTGCATGTCATAGGCGGGTGTGGAGGAACACTCACTCGACGATGTCGCAACTCCAAAAGTGTGAAATGCGTTTTTAAGGACTCTCTGCATAGCCTCATCTCCACCATCATCTGATGCCTTTTTAATGTCACTTAGCAATCGCGGTATGTTCACAGGACCTCTCGCGTTTCTTGAAAACATTGCATTGCAATATGCCACAAGACGTTCCGCATCCACGCCCTCGTCCTTGTGACGACAAGCGTGAACATTAATCACTTCAGTATTCATAGCCCCGCAAAAGGGACAGAAGCACATCGGCTGTGATTCTCTTGATTGTCTGTTCTCAACTGTAAACTGAAGAGAAACGTCAGATTAGCTGCCATTTTTATTCAAAAACAGCTTGAAGCAACCGTGAACCGTACTTACTCCCAATCTTCTTGCTCGATCGACTTCAGCACAGCGGTCTGAGTTCGGACGACGTCTTTCAGCTATTCTCTTTTTGCAAGTTTTGCAATTTACGTTTTGCAACGTGTCATCGACTTTTTTTGCTTTGCCATTCACAACTGCGTGCTGAAATCGTTGTAATAAATCTCCTTCTTGCTCCAATGGAGTCAATTTGATGACAAGTTCACGGTTTTCTGTGAAACCAAAAAGCACATATAAACATAAGAAGAAAAATACAGAAAGCAAGATGAACTTTACCGTATGCGAACTTACGTTTTGTTGGCACAGATTTGGACCGTCGTGTTGATCGACAGCGTCCTTTCGCCTTGGCATTTTCCCGCTGCTTCTGTATCTGATACAACCGTGTAGCCAAAGGCAGGTCATCATTTTCTAAACGGACTGCTTTTTTCTGAGGTCGCCGCAAAGGGATTGCATCAGGCAGGAGTATCGTTTTCCCTTGCGTCGACGTGCTTGGAAGAGACGTGACGCTAGATACACACTTTTTCTGGTTCATCTCATTTTTCTTCAAGGGCACAATGCCTGTTAAGCCCTTTGAAGACTGACGAGGTGGATCTGTGGACACAGAATATAAAGTTAAATTCCATGTTGTCAGAGACAAGACTATTAAAGACCTCATTAAATACAAACCATTGATATTAAGTGTTTGGTTTGTAGGACTGGTTAGGTCTTCACTGCATGACACAGATCGAACTCGTGGCGACACGAGTCTTGGCATATCGGGAAAAAATAAGTCGCCTTCTTCCAATGGTTCATTTGGGTTCTTTAGCCGTCGCACTAATGGCTCAACGCCTTTGACTGCCTTTGCAGGCCTTGGCAGAACGCCTGAAAGCAAAAATCAGATCAAATCATGACCTTAACGTCACATATTTAAAGCATTGTGGGAGTTCCATACAGACCAATGGATCCACCTTTCGAAGTCGTGGGAAGCCTGCTGCCACACGAATAAGAGCGATTCCGAGGTGACAAAGGAAGCCTCGCTGCAGCCTCTGCCTTCAGCCTGGCTCTCCTATCAGCCTCCTTCTGCTTTGCTTGTTCCCTGTTTGCTCTTTTCATTTCTTCCCATTTCTTCTGAGCAGCAGCTTTCCTCTCAGCTTCCTGCCTCCTCAGCTCCTCCCGCTGTCGAAACAGCTCGTCCATGGATTCAGCATCTGTAAACAGATGGACCAGGTTAAGATAAACTAAAAAGAGCACGACAAAAATTCAACGTTTCCCGTCATAACGTACCAAAGTTGACAAGCAGCCCAGTGTGCCCTTTTTCCAAAAAGGAATAATCAATTATCTCCCCCTCAAAAAGGGGAGTAGGTTCTGTCTCGTTTTCACATAGAAAGGACAAATCAAGAGGTTCTCCATCAGTTGAAAGAAGAGGACTTTCCGGGCGAGCCCGGTCATTTTCTTGTAGCTGGTCCCCGTGGTCACTCATGGTGCAGCAATCTAATTCAACTGCAACATAACATAGTACAAAGTGCACATTAATATGGCATTCATCATTCTCTTGGGTGATTGTCGTTTTCGCCCAGCTCATCTTTTCAGGTAAGGATCGGTTATATAAGGGTTTTGCCGTGCCCAGATTGCATTGTGTGCCAACCCATCACAATGCGATCAGTCCACACCTCTTAAAGGTTGGGCACGGACTCAGTGGACTTCAATTCTGTGCCGTGCCCAGTTAGCATTATGTGCCTGTCCATCATAAAGTTCCCAGTCCACACCACGAGGAGGTTGGGCACGGACTTAGTGGACCAAACGCAGCCCTAAGTCAAAGGCACTGCATACATCTCTTTAAAGAAAGCAACGGCCGCAAAGAGCCATTTTCAGGCATTTTTTTCGTGCCAGAAAAGAACGGCCATGCATCTTTTCAAAAGTGCCGAAAATAGGCACATATTGTTTGGGGGGGTAGGGTCCCAATAATTTCCAATATTTGTCTTATTATTCGACCATTTTTTCTTTGGACCCCCCCCCCCCCCCCCTTGGAACGGCCATGCACCAAAGGCGCCTTTTAAGCCCTTTTCGGGCATGCTGAGCAAAGAACGGCCATGCAGTTTCCCCCAAAATGGCCAAAATAGGCGTATTTTGGGGGTGCGGGGGTCGGAACGGCCATGCAACGCTCTGCTAGAAGGTTTATAGTTAGACCTGGTGGTTAAATTACAGGGCCGTATCCGGCTCGCCTTTAAGCCCCAAACTTTAGTTCTTGATCAACGAGAACATCCTTGGCAAATGCTTTCCCTTAAGTCCGCACAACCCCTCCGGGGGGGTCGAGTCTAACAGACCGCCGCTTGACCTCTCCGAGGGGTTAAGTCTAACAGACCGCCGCACGATCCGAGCGGCCCCCTTGCGGTCGTCCGAATGGGTTCAAACTTGGCATGCGTCCGGTTCGAACCTTTCTCTACGCGATGCCGTCCTCGGCCACTCTCCACGCGCACTCCTTCCGTCTCAAAAACGCGTTTGAAAAAGGCCCCTTTTTGACAGCGCCTGCAAGACGCTGCATAGGCAACCCGTCGGTCACAAGTGCACCACGTGTTGCCTACATTCGCGATTTCTTCTTTCGGCCATTTCTCGAGAACGGCTTGACTGATCGCGGTGAGACAAAGAGGCGCTTCCGCACGCCAAGACAAAGCTTTCGGTGCCTCGCAGAGCTCTCTAGGACGCTCCGTTCGGATTTTGAAAATTTGGCCGAGCCGCTTGCAGAACTTTACGCCGAGCGTTTTCACGGCCGAACCGTGGTAGCCAGGCGACTGACCGAATCACGAGGCGATAGCGTGAGAGAGGACGAAGGCTTTAAAAGTTGAAAGGTTCGGATCGGTCAATAAATGCGCCCTCACGGGCCGTCCAAACTTGTGCTTAAGATCACTCGCGGAATACCGTCTCACGGCACTCGGACGGCCCTCCAGCCCAGAGGGCTCGACCGATCGGCCCCATTCAAGGCGCTCCGCCCCTCGAGGCACTCTGCCGTATCCAGAGTCCCCTGGCTCCCTGGCCCTTCGGGCTCCATCCACTCCCTCTCTGCCTCTCCGAGTCCAGTCTCCTCGCCCTCCGAACATCTCGGACTCTGCCTCGCACCGAGCTTCTTGGACTCTGCCTCACTCTGGGCCCTCGCCAGGGACTCTGCCGCTCACCGAGCACTCCGGACTCACCGGCCCTCCTCGGCCCCAGCGGCACTCTACACCCTCTCGGGACTCCGTCCCTCTGGCCAAGCGGAGCCGAGCCGAGCCTTCTGACCTAGCCCCCAGCCGGACCCAGGCCCAGGCCCAGGCCCTCGGCCCTCGGCCCACCGGCCCCGACCCAAAAAATAGCAGAGTGCTACAAGGAAGCCGAGACAGCGCTCCATGAACGCCGCTCGGCTCTGAGCCTTGCGCCAGCCTTTCGAGAGTCTCCCAGGGACCAAGTCCAGCCAAGGACTCGGCCAAAATGGAGACGAGCCGAGCGCCGCAGTGCGACGCCCAGCTCAGGGAGGTCAAAGAGAGACAAGCCGAGCACTCCCGAAGAAGAGCCCAGCTTGACGCGCTGTCCAGGCCAAAACGCCGCGTGTTGAGAAAATGCCTCGATCGATTGAATGTTTTTATAGATTGATTGATATTTTTTTTTTAGATTTTAAGTGTTACTTTGTCACTTAAAACAATGTGTTTCGGAAAAGCGACGTGCCCCTTCCACGCACGTGCCGGTGGTTGCCATCCAAAGATACCTTTAATGAGGTATTATTTTGCAACCTCCCATCGCTACAGTAGGAGCTCGTGCAACCGACTTATGTTTCTTTAATGGTTTCTCCAGGGGAATGATTGAAATAAGACATAAAATTAACAAGAAATTGCGAAAGCACATGTCTTTTTATACCAAGTTTATTCATTCAAATTTCATTAGTTACATGCGAAAAATTTAACTCTAAGTTTAAACGTACATTTTAAACATACCGTACAGAACTCTAATTAACTAGCTAGACATACTGGTATCAGAGCTGCTCGGTGTTCAGTGTGACATTAGTTACAATGACCAGAACGCAAAGTCTCGTCAATCTGCATCTGAGTGGAAGACCTGCGCAGACAGTCGAGTTCCATGGTTTAGTTCAAGACCCAAGTCATTGAATACGAACAAGTTCGTTTCGATGGCTGTGGCGCTCGAACCGCACCATGAGTAACAACCACCTGCACCGGTCTTCCGCTTGAATGCGCCTTGGTGTCAGAACCACTTGACACTCGATCGTGCATCCGTCACGATAAGGAGACGTAATGTCTCAAATGCGTCGCGCGCTTCGACGTGTACGCGAATAAGGCGGGCACGTCCAGACACCGAAAGAGTCAAGTTATTGAAAATGATGAGCAAGGCACCACTGCAGTCTTTAAGATCCATTCGAAGTATACGATTGGACAACGTTGACCGCGACTTGCCTTTCAATTGAAACTTTTGGACGAACGTATCTATCACACAAAAGGAACGACTATGTTAGATGGGATACCGTACGGCACGAAATATACGTATATGATATACACATTACCACACTCACCTCCATCAAGGAAACAGTTGTAACGTGTCTCATATCCTTGTAGAATGTCACCTCCTACAAACACAATAGAGAGGTCACAACCAAGATTCACAGACAAGATGCGTGCCCCTCCCACGCACGCATCGGTGGTTGCCACCCGTGCTGACTTTGCAACCTCCCAGTCCCGCGAACGGGACTTTGTCTGAAAACCTTATTTTGTTTTTTTTTTATGGTATTATTTATTTATACTGATATGTTATAAAAATACAATCATAATGAAAAAAATGGACAATGTACATGTACGAAATCACACACCATCAGCATCATCTTCTCTGTTTTCTTCTTCTGTGACACTCTCTTCATCTTCTCGGTCGTCTTCAATGGTCTCCTCATCAATCACATGCACCCTTACATCCAGTGCATTAACTTCATCGGCAGGTGGCACCTGTAAATGAAGCACCAATAGACACCTTATCTTTGACACAAAGAGAGCGTAACAAAATATTGTCCAACTTACCCATTCTTTCAGAAAGCACGTTTTAGCGTCATGCAGAACGATGCACTTTTTTGGATCGTCATCTTGACCGACCCCGAGCAAAGTGAACACATTGTCCAAAATGGCTTTCATTTTGCCTTTGTCATGCTTTACTTGCATTAGGTCAGCAATCAGGGAATCCATGTGGATAGGCCCCCTCATTTGGCGCGTGTAGTGGGCTTTTTGATACGCAACGATCGCCTTTTTGTTCATGTCAGAGTGAACGTTTGGAGAGTTGATATGGCTGTCGTATCGCTGAAAGCTTTTGGAGCAACCCGGGCAAAAAGACATAACATTTTTCCCATTGGGCGTACGATTGCATACCCTGTACTAAAAAAAGACAAGATGATAATATATCGCAAATACTGATCAAAAGTAAAATATTGGCCCCCCTTGGAAATAAAAAAAAAAAAAGATTCACCAACAATGAAGTATAAGGGTGATTTCGTGCGTAGAGGGGCTGCAGCAAAATTTTAAAAATAAATTCAACTTTTTGAGCGAAATTTGGTCTAGATGGTATACATGGTGAGTACCCCGCAGTACCCCTCTGAGCGTGGCAACGCTACAAGTCGACTTTCATTTTCACCCACATATGGCAAACCCTTAGCTGCATAGACTCATCCTCCGATAAAAATTGACTTAGAGTTAGTCGTGTCTGTTTTGGTGAAAAATGGAGTCAACGGCCAATTACCGTAGAACGGGGTAATATGAGACAAATTCGAGTTTTTTTGTGAATTTCCCCCTTTCATTTTCAATTTGAGGTACTGAGGTGTTCATCACATGTTCATTGACCCTTTGGCTACACTCCTACCAAATTTCAGATTTTTAGGTGCAGTAGGGACCTTTCAATAACCCTCGGAATGCCATCCCATATTTCCCTGCAATGTGGGGTAATATGAGACAAAAGAAAGAAATGTTAAAGAAGTATGGATAATTAAATCATTTAGGCGGGTTTGGAGCTTTTTGAGTTCTTTTCATTCATTTTAAAGATGATTGGAAACTATAATGGAGACGATATACAAGGTAGGTTTACGCCAGACCGCGTCTTGTCGTAACAGGCTTCGCGATGTCTCGCGGCCTGTTCCCCCAATCGGCGCCTGGCGTACCTACCTTGGCCTGCGGCGCGGCGCTAGCCTGCCTTCGGCAGGCATTGGCTTGTCCATCGTCGGTTACTTCTTTCTCGTTGCATGCTGGGGGGCTCCGCCCCCCAGACCCCCCTTTCCTCAAGACGTTAGTGATCTGCCTGAAAAACTCGATTTATAGCCGTTTTTTAGGTGTTTTTCGGCTATAAAAACTGAACTAGTTGAGCTAGGACAGTGAAATTTCGCGTGTGCTGAGCCAAGGATATACCTAAAAAGTGTGCGAAATCTCACCGAGATCGGCCGAGCCGTTCAGGAGGAGTAGTGCGGACACACACACTCACACACGCACGCACGCACGCACGCAGACAGGAAAAACTTTTCAACCCCACCCGAGTAACAGGCTTCGCTATCGCTCAGCCAAAAATCTGGAGGGGAGAAAAATGGGTGTCACTAAAGAGAGCTGAAAAATGTATAAGAAATCATGCCTGTCACATGAAAATACTAAACGAAGAGTATAGATGCCGGTCAGATAGTAAAACATTTTCGTGTTAAAATCATTGGCTGAGCGATAGCGAAGCCTGTTACTCCATTGTGGTTGAAAAGTTTTTTCTGTCTGTCTGTCCGTCTGTCTGTGTGTGTGTGTGTGTCCGCACTACTCCTCCTGAACGGCTCGGCCGATCTCGGTGAGATTTTGCATACTTTTTGGGCATGTCCTTGGCTCGGCACACGCGAAATTTCACTATCCTAGCTCAACTGGTTCAGTTTTTATAGCCGGAAAACACCTAAAAAACGGCGAAAAATCGAGTTTTCTGCAGGCAGATCACTTCTGTCTCGAAGAAGGGGGGTCTGGGGGGGGCGGAGCCCCCAGCCCTGACAAGTTAGAAAGTTACAAGGGATCTAGAATGAAGGGGGGTCTAGTTAGAAGTAACCGACGATGGACACGCCATTGCCTGCCGAAGGCAGGCTAGCGCCGCAGGCCAAGGTAGGTAGGCCAGGCGCAGATTGGAGGAACAGGCAGCGAGACATCGCGAAGCCTGTTACGACAAGACGCGGTCTGGCGTAAACCTACACTCTCATTCTAGGAACGTGACATCACGTTGAAACGAACGTGACAAAATGTCACGTTCGTTTGAGCATTGTGTCACGTTCGTTTGAATGTGAACAAGCTGTTTTTTGGACAATTCACACTCTAACGAATGTGACACAATGCTCAAACGAACGTGACATGTTGTCACGTTCGTTTCAACGTGATGTCACGTTCCTGGAATGAGAGTGATACCTTGTTATTACTTGAAATTATTAACAGTGGAGTATGTTTGGCCTCATGTTTCAAGCGAAAAGAGGTGTCTCTATTTTTGGCCCGTCCCGTTTATTTTTGGCCCGTCCCGTTTATTTTTTGTAAAAAAATGACGGAGGGACGGGCATATAGTATGATCCCTGCTGTGCGTCCGTTCGTTCGTCCGTCCGTCCGAGGACTTCCCGTGGTCCGATCTTGACCAAATTTGGTATGCAGCCTCCTTGGGTGATCCTAAGAACCGCCCGGTGGCAGCAAATCCGATCCGAGCCCCGGGGGCGCTGCTGCAGGTGCATCATGGTCTACATGGGGTCGAGGAGGATTTTGGCAACGGAAACAGCTAGAAGGGCATGTATGGGTATTTTTGGAACCGGGGCGACGAGACAATGCCAACGGCGCCAATTTCGAGTGAATCGGAGAAGTTTGGACCCGGGTTCAAATCCCGATGGGGTATTTATTTTGTGTCGTTGTATTGCAGTTTCTTTGCGTCGTTCCTCATGTTGTTGAGGGCGCTGATGATGACGAAAATAACGACAATTTTGACAGTTGCCGATGCGTTGGCAGCAAATCCAATCCAAGCTTCTGCAGGTGCAATATATATTAGGCATATGGCTAAGTTGCGGCGGAGTTGGATCTCGGCAACGGGTGCCCCTAGGGGGCCATGTACACTGAGATTCCAAACGCTATGAGTATAGCACGTATGGTGCAATGCGCTGAGATATTGCACCTTACGTGCAATGCCACAGCCATATTGCACCTTAGGTGCAATGCTTCCCGAAAATGCCCTATGCTAATGCAAGGGAATTGGGAGTCATTGCACTTCATGTGCAATGCTTTTGCATTGCACCAATTGACGCTATACTCATAGCGTTTGGATTCTCAGTGTACGGGTATATTTAGAATCGGGATGTATAGCGAAGGAAAGTAGTCCCAACCCGATGGAAATTGATCGGTTCCGCTGCACGGCGTGGAGGTGGATCTCGGTACACTACAAATCTAACTGTCTACTTAGTACACACTTACAAACGCATGCTTGACGCCGTATAACTCCATGCGTCAAGCGTGCGTTTGTAAGTGTGTACTTAGTAGACAGTTAGGTTTGTAGTGTATTGGGTGCCCCGAGGAAGGCGTGTTTGGGTTATGTTTGCAATCAGGGCGACGAGGTAAAGCGAAGGAAAGCGTGACTCACATGTCCTGCCGCTTATCGGCGTGAATTTCGTGTCACGCCAGTTTCTGGCGTGACATTTTGTCACGCCATAATTTGGCCATGTGTCCGACCTTTACGTTTTCAGTGATTGCAAACTCTTTCACCAACTTTTTTCTTTGCATTCCATATTACTCTGCAAAATGCAAAGAAAATGCTTTGCAACGTTACAAACCAATGTTTCGCAACGTTGTTCGCAACGATGCAACCTTTTTTGGCCCGTCCCGTTTATTTTTTGTAAAAAAATGACGGAGGGACGGGCATATAGTATGATCCCTGCTGTGCGTCCGTTCGTTCCGACCGGCCAATTGCTCTCCACGCCGACAACGTGGTGCGGGTCGAGCAGCGGCGTCTTCAGGAGCCGGAGAACACGCTGCAGTTCATCATCCAGTTTCCGGACCTGCACGCTGCGCGAGGCACTTCGGTCGCGCTCTTCCACAACATCAGGTCTCTTCACAAGCACCATGCCCACGTTCTTCTCAACAAGACGTACACGGCCTGCAACGTCGTCATGCTCTGCGAGACGTGGACGCAGCCCGAGGACGACATCGCCATCCCCGGCTTCACCTTGATGCACCGCAGGGACTGCGTGAACCAGCAACGGCACGCATTTGGGACGGTGCTGTACGTGCGGGACTCCATGGCGGCCGCTGTCGAGGTAGTCTTCGGGCAGGAAGCCTACACTGAGCGCCGTGGGGCTGCGCTGCACTCATTCGCAGACATCGTGGGCTTCATTGTGAGAACCGAGACCTGTGAGAGGGGCGTTGTGTTCTTGCACAGGTCTCCTAAGTGCAAGTTCACCGCCTTTGCTGCCTCGTTAAAACGTTGCCTTGATATTCTTCGCCAGCAGGTGTCTGAAGTTACTGTTGTTGGTGATTTCAACTTGCCTGTGGCCGAAAATGCTGGAAATAGTCTTCGAAATCTGATGGAGTCTTACGAGCTGCTTCTATGCGTGGACCCAAGAGCAGTGTCAACAGACAGCCTTACTCTGATTGACGCATGCTTTTCCAACGTGCCTGAGCTGGTGGCGCATATCACAGAATCTGTGATAAGTGATCACAAACCAGTGTGGTTCCCACTTTTATAGAAGTGCTGCAGCGATGTGCTGCAAATAGGTTTCAAGTACTTTATTTGGTTCAACCAAATGCGTGAGGAGTGTGGGTTTGGTTGAACCAAATAAAGTACTTGAAACCTATTTGCAGCACATCGCTGCAGCACTTCTATAAAAGTGGGAACCACACTGGTTTGTGATCACTTATCACAGATTCTGTGATATGCGCCACCAGCTCAGGCACGTTGGAAAAGCATGCGTCAATCAGAGTAAGGCTGTCTGTTGACACTGCTCTTGGGTCCACGCATAGAAGCAGCTCGTAAGACTCCATCAGATTTCGAAGACTATTTCCAGCATTTTCGGCCACAGGCAAGTTGAAATCACCAACAACAGTAACTTCAGACACCTGCTGGCGAAGAATATCAAGGCAACGTTTTAACGAGGCAGCAAAGGCGGTGAACTTGCACTTAGGAGACCTGTGCAAGAACACAACGCCCTCTCACAGGTCTCGGTTCTCACAATGAAGCCCACGATGTCTGCGAATGAGTGCAGCGCAGCCCCACGGCGCTCAGTGTAGGCTTCCTGCCCGAAGACTACCTCGACAGCGGCCGCCATGGAGTCCCGCACGTACAGCACCGTCCCAAATGCGTGCCGTTGCTGGTTCACGCAGTCCCTGCGGTGCATCAAGGTGAAGCCGGGGATGGCGATGTCGTCCTCGGGCTGCGTCCACGTCTCGCAGAGCATGACGACGTTGCAGGCCGTGTACGTCTTGTTGAGAAGAACGTGGGCATGGTGCTTGTGAAGAGACCTGATGTTGTGGAAGAGCGCGACCGAAGTGCCTCGCGCAGCGTGCAGGTCCGGAAACTGGATGATGAACTGCAGCGTGTTCTCCGGCTCCTGAAGACGCCGCTGCTCGACCCGCACCACGTTGTCGGCGTGGAGAGCAATTGGCCGGTCGGAACGAACGGACGCACAGCAGGGATCATACTATATGCCCGTCCCTCCGTCATTTTTTTACAAAAAATAAACGGGACGGGCCAAAAAAGGTTGCATCGTTGCGAACAACGTTGCGAAACATTGGTTTGTAACGTTGCAAAGCATTTTCTTTGCATTTTGCAGAGTAATATGGAATGCAAAGAAAAAAGTTGGTGAAAGAGTTTGCAATCACTGAAAACGTAAAGGTCGGACACATGGCCAAATTATGGCGTGACAAAATGTCACGCCAGAAACTGGCGTGACACGAAATTCACGCCGATAAGCGGCAGGACATGTGAGTCACGCTTTCCTTCGCTTTACCTCGTCGCCCTGATTGCAAACATAACCCAAACACGCCTTCCTCGGGGCACCCAATACACTACAAACCTAACTGTCTACTAAGTACACACTTACAAACGCACGCTTGACGCATGGAGTTATACGGCGTCAAGCATGCGTTTGTAAGTGTGTACTAAGTAGACAGTTAGATTTGTAGTGTACCGAGATCCACCTCCACGCCGTGCAGCGGAACCGATCAATTTCCATCGGGTTGGGACTACTTTCCTTCGCTATACATCCCGATTCTAAATATACCCGTACACTGAGAATCCAAACGCTATGAGTATAGCGTCAATTGGTGCAATGCAAAAGCATTGCACATGAAGTGCAATGACTCCCAATTCCCTTGCATTAGCATAGGGCATTTTCGGGAAGCATTGCACCTAAGGTGCAATATGGCTGTGGCATTGCACGTAAGGTGCAATATCTCAGCGCATTGCACCATACGTGCTATACTCATAGCGTTTGGAATCTCAGTGTACATGGCCCCCTAGGGGCACCCGTTGCCGAGATCCAACTCCGCCGCAACTTAGCCATATGCCTAATATATATTGCACCTGCAGAAGCTTGGATTGGATTTGCTGCCAACGCATCGGCAACTGTCAAAATTGTCGTTATTTTCGTCATCATCAGCGCCCTCAACAACATGAGGAACGACGCAAAGAAACTGCAATACAACGACACAAAATAAATACCCCATCGGGATTTGAACCCGGGTCCAAACTTCTCCGATTCACTCGAAATTGGCACCGTTGGCATTGTCTCGTCGCCCCGGTTCCAAAAATACCCATACATGCCCTTCTAGCTGTTTCCGTTGCCAAAATCCTCCTCGACCCCATGTAGACCATGATGCACCTGCAGCAGCGCCCCCGGGGCTCGGATCGGATTTGCTGCCACCGGGCGGTTCTTAGGATCACCCAAGGAGGCTGCATACCAAATTTGGTCAAGATCGGACCACGGGAAGTCCTCGGACGAACAAACGAACGGACGGACGAACGGACGCACAGCATGCATCATACTATATGCCCGTCCCTCCGTCATTTTTTTACAAAAAATAAACGGGACGGGCCAAAAATAAGCCAAAATGACTGAAAGAAATTCAATGAGCACTGATTCCAAGGTGTCATGCTTACTTTGCTCTGTCGCAGGAAATTCACTTAATTTGACACTGAAGCACAGGAGTCAGTTCTTGTTTCACATGTAATTGCATAGTGGTGCAGGTTATCGTTCCAGAATCTTGGGCAACTCCAGTGGGTCAAGGTTTCCGCAAAGAGCCTATTTCTCAAGCATAAAATCAGATGACGAACAAAATAAACACTTTGACAATAAGAGTATCAAAGTAACAGAATATTGTAGGTTAACTTACACCGGCACTTTCTGATTTGGATTGAAACACGAAATAAGCCTGCACCAGGCTTTGAAGTATTCTACTTATTAGTGCACCTGAGAACTGAATATCTTCGTGCGTGGTTTCTTTTCTTTGGAGAAATGAATTTACTATAGTTAACAGAAAAATAAATAGAAGTAAGGATCCGACGCCACAAGCACAGTGCGCGCCAAAGTGCGCCGACTGTCATCTGCACAACAGGTGAGCATCGCGTGGGCCCGAGGCGCGCTCTAGCGGACACACTCGGAACTACATGGCCGCAGGACGCTGCGACGGGTGTGGTGGGGGACCTCCCAAAGACCTCACATAGACCTACCGTTTCGGACGTCCCGAAGTGCTCCAAGAACCGACTACTTTGGGACGAGCGACCAGGGCGCGCTCTGGCGGCGAACTCTGGCACCACACACTAGGTCCCCGCGCGACGTACGAGAGAGCTTCATTTGTAGTACGTTTAGGGAGGTCCCGAAGAGCTCCCAAAACCGACTTCTTCGGGACGTCCGAAAGACGTCGGATTCCAGACATGTACTAGTTTTGTTTACGGGGTTTTACGCCGAGGCAAAGGGACTTGGCAAAAGTGTGACGGTGTGCGACAGCCGAGAAACCCAAGAAAGATGACCGCGCGCGGGGGAAGTCCGGCAGTAAGGCAGCGCGAGATGATACCAGTTCTCCTAAAGTAACTTCATCTAATGCTCTGCAGCACTCTTCTCCTAAACACATATTTTTCATC